AATTCTTGCCCATTTAAGGTGATTTCTTAGTTGCGTCTCTTCCTCTGTTTCGACCCAACCCCCGCAAAAATCTCCGATGGATTTGAAGATTGTCTGCGACCATAGATGCAGTGGGGGCCTACAATTCTAATCCAGGTCGAGCTTGGCCTAATCTCTCTGTTTGAGGTCACTATTGTTGATGTCCACCAGTCCAAACAGACTTTTGTGTTACACCAGACCCAATCCCCTGCAATCACTTATTCAGCCGTATCTCTTGTCGCAAACTCGAACAAGAATTTTCCACCCCCCATCTCGTAAGTATTCAAACCATGAGTTTGTCTCCAGTTCTTGTTGGTCCAACCCCTCACTTCCGACAGGGTAGGTACGGTCATATCCCTTCCTTCAAAGCTTCCAACTAAGCTTCTCTGTAGGACTTCATTATGGGTATTCGGGGCATCATTAATGCGAATGATTTCCTAATCCTTCTCCTTCATTAATGTTGCTCTAACATTAACTCCATCTCCTTTACTGTTTGACCATTTAAAGATCCTAACCGCCTCTACAAAAGAGACATTGCTATCCACTAGTCTCTGTTTCATTCTGTTTTCCTCCACTCTATGTCTAGCGAGAAAACTCCCTATTTTATCTGCAAAGATGTCCCATCCTGAGTTAAAAGACAACTCAGGGATGATTATAACGGACCTCCTTCTACCTCTTATATTTATCAGGCTAAAGTATCTGCCGTGTTTGATGAAATTCCTAGCACAGAAAATTTCCGAGAGGGATTCTGTTTTCTTCCACCTTCTGACGGAATTTCCTTTTTCCTTTGAAGCTTCCTGCAAGATCTGGGTGATCCATATCATAGACCTCTTGCTAAAGGAGGTTCTTGTGATGACCCTTCTGCTCCTTTCCGTCCATTCGTACCATCGCCAGCCGTATCGCTAATTCTCTCGATGTCAAAAGACTTAAAACCTATCGCAAAATAAATACAGTCCTCCATAATAGAGGAAGGTTTAATAGAAAAAAGATGAAAGTGAGGGTTTCCGGTGATCGGAAGGACCACCGAAAAGGGGATGATGAGGTGAATCTAAAACATATTTTGGGAACTGTGTCTGGGAGAAAAAATGACCATTAACCTCATGCTTTCCCCTACAATACTCAAAATCTTGACGACTCTCGGGGTGCTCTAAGTCACCCAAAAAAATGTTCGTGTCCCCACTCCCCCCTCTCTTCATTCAAGAGTTTTTTTTTTGAGATAGTAACAAGTTGTAGTAAAATCAAAATCAAAAGGGGCCAGTGAAGACCTAATTACAAGGACGCTAAATCGAAACTGCAGAAATTATTAACTAGCAAATAAAGAGACTCTAGGAATATTAGTGTCTCTGCGTCATATATGTACTTGTCTTTACACCAAAAATGCAAAGTTGAATACAATTAAGCTTTATATTCTGAATAGGGTTGCTTTTGTTTTGAAAACATCTTGAGTTCCTTTCCCCCCAGATAGTCCACCATATGCAACCTGGCATCACGCTCCAACATTTTTTTTGAGCTTTAGTTCCTCTTCTTCTGCTCCAACTAGGTAGTACATCTAGTGTATTTGTTGGCATTTGCTCAACTCAAACCAATGCTAGCAAGAATATGTTTGACAGTTGAGTAGTCACCCTACAATACAAAAAGAGGTGACTATTTGTTTCAGCATCATAAGTGGCGGATAGAGCAAAGGTGTATTCTCTTTCTTTGCAGTCTGTCTTGTGTCAAACGAGCCTTTTTTACTGCCAACCAAACAAATCATGCCACCTTCTATGGTATGTTTGTCTTCCATAGCTGTCTCTAGGGTCAGTTTACTTGAAGATTCTTGTTATGATTTTCAAGTGATATGCTGTCTTGACTGTGAAAACTCCTTCTGTCTCTCAATCACCATAGTCTACCTTTCTCTATTGAGCTTCCATTGAAGAAATTAAGTGTGTTAAGGAAGGCACTATATCTGTCCATTTTGCAGTCACTGAAAAGTCCTCTGAAACTGCGGTCTCATCCTTGATTGTTCCATACCCTCATTGATACTGGCCCTTTGCTGCAGATTCAGTATGTAAACATCAGGGTATAAGTTCCTAAGTAAGCCATTACCTAGCCAATTATCTCCCCAAAGAGAACTATCTTGCCCATTCCCAACTTTCAATCTGATATTAATGCTGATATCATCCAATGATTTCTAATAGTCCTCCAAACACTGACCCTATAAACAGTGCTAATAACTTTGGTTTTCCTAGTATTCTTCTCCATAATTTTCTTTAATCACCCTCCTCTATAATGATTGATCTTCATTTGAGTATCTCCAGAGCCACTTAATGAGTGAACTTTGATTTTGCTTCCTAAGATTTTGTATCCCAATCCCCCTTTTGTTGTTTTCTTAGTGTTGAAGTTTTCCAGTTGACATGATGAACACCCTTTTTTTCCTTGTTGTGTTGCCACAGAAAGTTACTTTTCAACATATCCAGTCTTTTCTCAACTTGTGGAGTTATGGGAAAAATAGACATTGTGTAGGTCATACAAGCCCCCCCATCGCCAGAAACTTCTCCCCCATCTCCTGTGTTTTGACAGTAGTCAAGCCACTGCACTTGATCCTTGATAGGTCATACAAGGTCCTCTTCTTCCTCTTCCTCTTAATCTCTAAATCCATTGCTATGAGCTTATGTTGAGTTGTAAGATACTCACTCAGGATGGGGGCATACTGATGGAGAAAAGTTAACAGTGAAGGCAGCCTACAAGATAGCGATGGACCTGAATGCTATCACTGACAACTGACTTTGGAAGCTAATCTGGAAGGTCAAACTTCCACCCAAAGTTGTTTGCTTTAGCTGGACAGCGATGCATGAAGCCAGTTTACACAGGACAACCTTGCAAGGAGGAAGATTCGGATTGTGAATAGATGCCACATATGTTATAGAGAAACAGAAACTCATAGCCATCTGTTTCTGCAGTGCCTGGCCGCAACAGACTTATGGCACATGTTCCTCACCCTTTTTGGCCTCAGATGGGTAATGCCTGATACTATCAGGGAGGTTTTTGAATGCTGGAGCCACTGGAAAGTTGACAGCACCGTCAAAGATTTGGAAGATGATACCAACTGTCATCTTATGGACTATCTGGAATGAAAGAAACAGAAGATGTCCTCTGGTCTCTCAACTAGCCAAACTATGCTCAAAGCTAAATGTATTTTGTATTTATATAGTTTTTTTTTTCCCCAATGGATTCCCCTATAAGGTTTTTAGAGTTTGTTAGCTGTATGATAGTGTACTAGAGATAACATACTAGTGCTCACTCTTTTGTAACTTCTTGATGCCATGAATGGAATCAATTCCTTCATCTAAAAAAAAAAGATACTGAATATATCCTTGCAGTTCTTACATAGACTTCTATCGCACTTTCTAAGGAGTAAGTAATTTATCTAAATCTTAGTCACGATACTACGAAAAGGTCACCTAGTGATCCTCCTCCTTCGGGGAACTCGAATTAGCTATCACCAATTCAAAAGCGTTAGCAAAGTCCAAAAGCGAAACTCCTCCTTCATTTCTATCCCAAATCAAAACTGCCTCGGACATCAACATAACCCCTTGAAGTATTCCTGATGTGGCCATTGAAATCACCTCCTATGAATAGCTTCTCGGTGTGCGGGACCCCTCACTACCTCGTCCGAATCCTCCCAAAACTCCCTTTTATCCTCCTCACCCAAGCTTGCCTGTGGTGCATTTGCACTAATAACATTCAAGGTAAGTCCTCATAATGACCACTACAATTGAACAGAATCACAGCTTGTTTGCTTGGAGGCAGATATGGAGATCCAGGGCACCTTACAAAGTGGTATGTTTTTGTTGGACTGTCACATATGAAACAGTTCTTACACAACACTGCGAAAAGAATGAGGATGCTTATCATCTGCTTTTGCCTTGTAGCTTCACAACTCAAATCTGGAATATGTTTTTAAACACTACTTATGTTAGCTGGGTGATGCCTAGAAGGCTAGAATTATCAAACAATTTCTGCACTGTTGGACTGGTAAGGGTATTGGGAAGGAGAAAAGACGAGTCTGGGAGACCATTCCCTCCTGCATATGGTGGGTGATTTGGAAAAAAAGGAAACAAGGATCTTCTGAGAGAAAACGTGGAAGTGTACATACATTGAAATAAACATCTTCTTTTTTTTGGCCTTTTGGTATAACTAGAAGATGTTAAGTACAACAGATAGGATGTTCAGTTTCCTAAAGTGATGTAAAGGAATTAATTTGCGTGTATTTTGTCATACACTTTGTGCCTCTAATTAAAAAATCTTACCCTTCTCAAAAAATATGAAATAATGCTAATAACACTTTTTTGAGTAGCTTTCCACGAGTAGCAGTTCATAAATCCTCTTTAATTCTATGAATTATGTGAACAATCAGTTGTCGATAGAACTGTTAAAATTTGCCTATGGATGGTTGGTGAAGCAAAATTATGTATCAGTTTCTTTCTAACAAGCTCCTTGCTATGTCGGTTTTATATCTGCCAAAAGAACAGTTTTACTACAAGTTAAGTTCTCTGAATATACCACAGTTTGTCAAAGGAGGGGAAAAATCATTAGCGTGCCACTAACATAATGCTAATCAATACAATGGTGGAATCTAGTTCCATCTTGCATATGGTGGTCAATTTGGAAGAAAAGAAACAATAAGTGCTTTAAGAATATTACTAACCCAATGCAGAAAGTTAAAGAAAACTGCATTAATACTCTATATTTTTGGTGTAAAGAAGAGGGTATATATGAAGTAGATCAGTTAGTAGATTTCCTAGGCTCTTTGTAATCATGACTACTTTGCCTTTGAATTTTTTTTATTTTTTATTTTTGTTTGGTTGCCAACATACCCTCATTGCTGATGAATACAACTTTACCATTCTAAAAAAAAAAAAACATAATGCTAATCAAAACATCTCCTAGTTTCATTTTGTTGATGAGATTTTTGGCACTGATAAATGCTGTCTTTGGTTTAGCTGGAACTTTACTTTGGTGGCGAAGATGTCATGGATATGGTTGGCTTTAATAGTCCGAGGAATGAGATGGAATCCTTGAATTCAATTCTTACAGCCATTGCTAAGTTGGATGGAGAACATTGTTCAACCACCATATTGGAAGAATTACGAATTGCAGCTGTCGACTTGATTTCTGAGTTGGGAAAGAAATGTAAAGAGGAGAGCAAAGTTGTTACTCGGTCTAGCTGTGAGCCAGAGAAATGTTTACAACAGTGGGGCGAAGACCAAGGTGTGAAGTCACAATTGGAGATATCTTGTAAGTTCTCATCTTACCATTAATCCAAAAGTCAAAATAACGTAGTTATTTTTGGCATGCATGATCGAAAATGCGATGGGGAAAAAGGGGAAACTTATATTTTTTCTGGGCTAAGCTTTGGAGCCTAATCTAGGACTATAGAATTGCATTTCAGTTTACCATTGTGTATATAACTTCCCTGGTTACATGGGAGTTTTGTATGATTGTCATTTAGTTGGTGTTACTAAATCACTTCTGTGAATTTCAATTCTTTTTCGTTTGAGTTGTACACTTGTACTTGTCTTTAGTGTCAGAAAACTACTTCAAATAAAATGGAATAACGTTGACTACTGTCTTATTTTCACTTATTTGAAAGTTTTTCAAGGCAACCTTCATCTTCTTGTTGCCTTTCTTGCACCTACCCTGCAGACCCTCTTGCCCATACTCTCCTCGTCTTAACCTCTTGCCATCTACTTTCTACTTTCAAAACTTGTTGCAAGAACATTTTATGCCTATTAAACTTGCTCTTTTGTTTTTTTTATTATATAAAATCATGTCTTTCATTACATGTTTAGTGAAACAAATTAGCACATGTTTTCAAATAAATGCTTTGTGGTTGAGGTATGGGAGTAACAACTTGGAACACTTGATGTGGGCTCATCTGTGTCAATCTTGGTGGGCAGGATTACCATAGCAACCTGTGGTTGTGGGTTGGGAAGGCTGCAGGGTTTATAAGTCGAGGTGCAATAAAGCTGGCGTGGAGACCACCAACATTTTAATAAGGAAAAAACAAATTCTCCGTTTTTCCTTCACTTCTTCACCTGCTCTTCCTACCATCGTCGCTAAAATGTTCTCTGTGGATTGTTTGTTGTTCTGTTTGGTTGAGCTATGGTGAGATGGTGAAGGAATATGGTAGAGGATTGAGAGGTGGGATCAGGTCAATTACGGGCGTGGCGTAACCGGCCAATCAACTCGTTTTGGGTTTAACCTGTTGATCAACTCTACGCTGAGCTTCTAGTGAAAAACTAAAGCACTACCTTACACAATGAAATCCCGTAGTTTTGCAATAACTTGGCTTTGTTCTTCTCAAATAATAAGTAATTTCTGCTCGGCCTTTATAGACCTAAGGTGAATTACATAGGGTTTACACTTTTATTAAAGAAAGGAAATATCGGCTGTTCTGGCTTCAGTTATTTGTGGTCTTGCAGTGGTTAAAGGTGAGTGTAACTTTGGACGAGTGTCATTCTTTTTGTACTCTCCGTGTAAAGAAATGGTGAATTCAACTGTGAAATCTGTTGTTTGCTGCTTGTTTAGGATCGAATGCCTGCTGTATGTTTGTTAAAAAGAGTGGGCCAGTGAAGAATTTTTAGTGAAGGTGTCAAAAGATGGATAATACTGGCGAGCTTTTTCCCCTGGTAACTTTGTGAATTTGTTTTAAATGTGTATGGACTTTTATATTGAAGGTGATTTTTTGCTTGAATGGCATTGGGTGGAAATGATGGCTGTGCTTGGTGGCAAGTATGGATGGTTTACATGGTGAATTAGATGTGGTATTTTTTGTTTCAGAGGATGGTTTGTTACTTGCTGAAAAATGGGTGGAAAGGTGGTACAGGTCCTAGGTCCTGTGTGTGTCAATTTATCTTGAAGAGTACGGTTTTGTGGAATTTTGCAAGAAAAAAGGATTGGAACGAATGAAACTTCAAGGCGGAGTGAGGCAAACATGTTCTTCCAGCATGGTCCAAGGTGAAACGCTGGGGTACTAGCTACGGCTAAGTTGCTCGGACTCTTCACTTTTGGTGCCGCACCCATGACGACACGACATGGGTGTGGGTGTGGGATCCATGTACGATTTGGTCAACGGATTTTGGGTTCTTTGACCAAAATCGATGGGGAAAGTCTGGACAATTTTAATGGTTTCTATAACCAATACAAAAGCTAAGGTGAAATTGAAGGAAATGGAATATCTTTTATATAGAAATTTTTGTCACTCTTCTTCTTTTAATCTCCTTCCAGGATTCTCCTCAAGTTTTCCACATAATATCTCATTATCTAGGATTTATAACTCTATTAACTATTTTTTAGATATTTTAATTATTTTTAGGCAAATCCCCCCACCCGTATCCGTACATGGATCCATATCCCAGTATCTTAAAAATTAGATCATGAAGGATCTGACCTCTAGATCCGCCCCCGTATTGGACACCCGCACGCGAGTCCGAGCAACTTAGAATGGAATTTCAAGTTAAGGTGTGTAAAGGGAAGCCAACCTGTTAAGGTGTGTGAGTGCCAATGGGAAAAAATGCACGTCAAGGGGGGAAGTATGTATTAAGTCTGTGCTTCTATAATGCTTTATGATGCGGTCTTACCTTTGGTGTTTATCGTTAGGGAAATTTTATGGTGAGATTCCTGGAATAATACTCATCATCTTCCTCTTGAAGTTGCAGTTTCTTTTCCAATGCCAATGACATAGTGAATTTCTTTTCTTATTCTCTTTTGTTGATTGCCCAAGTTCTCACCATCCTTCAGCTATAGCACAACAACTTTACCATCACACTTTTCCCATTGTTTCAGCCGTATGCAGCCTTATAAACTGGTACCGTTTCAGCAATTTAGCGTCCTAGTCTTACTAGATAGTTGGACAATTACCTCCAGTGCAGGAGAAAATTTTCACTGGTTAATCTGACACTTTCTATGTTCATTTCCGGACATTATTTCACTTACAAACTGTATTAGTAAGCTCCTTCAATGGCTAACTTATTGATTGAATAAGGTAGAAATACTATTTTGATTTCCTTGCACATTTGTGTATCTTGTGATGCAGACTTTGAAGGAGCTGGAAGGGGAGCCGTTGCAAGACAAGATATGAGAATTGGAGACATTGCCTTGGAGATCCCTTTATCCATTGTCATTTCAGATGATCTTGTACATGAATATGACATGGTATACTTTGTCAATGTTATGGGCATTTGTTGATTGAATCAGTTATGTTTTTTCTCCTTTTACAATTAGATTTCACTGTTTTGGCTTTTGCATGCTTGACACTTATCAATTTTAAACTATAGCTGATTGAAGCGCCTTTAAATGAAGTCGTCATAATTTTGTAAAGTACAATGTCTAATTTTCAGGAATAGAGCATAACCTAAAATGAGATTGGATGGGAGAATTGACTTGCAAGTCCATTTGGAGTCAACACTTCAATTCTAGTAGTCTTGTAGGAACCTTGTCTCCACACACTGACTCTCAACTTGATACTTTGAAGGCACTTCTCCATTTGCTTTGAGTTCAAAATTTTGCCCTGTGGTACCAGTTAAGATGCTTTCTTCTGTGCAATAATGATTTTTCGAAGATTTTGGGTAGTATTGGGAAATTTATACAGCACTAGAGACGAGAAGGGAGAAACTGAGAATAGTAGTGAGGAAATAAGAGAACCATCAGAGAAAGATAAGAGTACAAGAGATCAATGATAAAGTACTAAGTGTGTCAAAACAAAGAAGAGTGGGATATATCTATAGAGTAGAAAACCATGTACATTTTGGAGACTGTTAGAACTTTGTCTTTAATGAAAAGATAAGGATAAAATTAAAGATTCTCTCACAACATGTATGGGCAGGAATACTTCAGGAGCATGTGCTTGTGTGTGGGAGGGGGGGAGGGGACCAGCTACCCACTGAATTAGTCGAGGTCTGTGTGAGGTGGTGAACGCATCACCACTTCTAAAAAGGGGCTAAATTAAAAATTATGATAAATCAAACTAAGATGGTGATTTTAATAATAATGAGGATAAAAATATAATGTACAATGATTTGAACATAATACAAAATCTAAAAGGTAAAGATGAAAAAATAAAATATTCTTAAATCTGACGAGATTTCAAAATTTTACCTTCTTCATTTCCTACTCTATATTCTCCCAAATCACTTAAAGCTGCACCATTGTCTTCTGGTGGAAGAGAACTCGACTGCTATGGGTACCTAAACAAGCCACTAGTTGAGAAACTATGATTGCATTAATCAACATACTAGAATCTGAGGAGGTGTAGGCTTTAAGATACGTGCAGAGCTACTAGAGAATGATACGCAAAACTAATGGCCATATAATTTGGTGAATCCATCAAATATGTATTTTATCCCAAGCTCATTGAGATGGATGGAATAAGGACCAACAGTAGGGGCAGTAGCTTTTTTAAAGGAATTTCTTGGTCGACATCTGTTCAAGATAAGTTCAAATCATGATATCAGATTTTCATACCACTCAGCAATCAACTCGAATCCAACTAGCTTTACTTTAGCAAAAAAGGATATTGAGCTTGTCATACCAATCAAAGTGATCTTCTAAGATATCTATCCAAATCTTGACTGGTTGTAATTAGAAGATCCTAGGAATGATGTAAGTAAAACTTTTTGGAGGTGGACTACACTTTGATGTAGTATACCTGTGGATATATAGAAGTAATGTTACCTTTCTCAAAAAAGATATCTATCCAATCAAGTAACAGAACAATATGTCAAGTTTCCCCCTCAAAGCTAGGCACTTTCAATGAACAGAACTATGTGGCCAAGTTTCCCCGTCAAAACTAGGCACTTCCGCCTTGGCTTTTTTGTAGAAAGTCATTCTGGATATTATAGGCAGGAGAAGAAGAGAGTAAGGATTTTAGGAATATTTGGCTCTGTTACTCTTCATGCTCTTTGGAATTGTACAGTGTTTTCAAATGGTATTAATAAGATGATCTATATTTACATCCAGGAATATTGTTAAATATTTCAAAATAAAGATATATTTGTTGTAAGTACAGGATTTTACATGCTTTAACATCTTAATTACAGGGATATACAAAGATTCTTAACATGTACAAATATTACCAAAAAAAAGTCCTTTGCTAGAATGTTGTAGATATTCTAGGATATCCCTAGAATATCTTAATGATTCGAACAATACTAAAGTTCAAATTCTTATTAATTACAGACTAATGCACTTTTTATGACTCCTCGGAAATAGGAATACACATAACCCTCTATAAATAAGGGCAATCCTCTAAAGTTAAAGAACCCTCTTCTACAACATTTAAGAAGAGGACACAATATAGAGGCTTAATCTCTCAATTATCGCTTTCAAATGTATTGCAATTTGAAATTTGGAGAGAGTATTAAGGTCATATGAGACACTGCTACAAGTGGGAACCTAACCCACCTATTATTCCACTTGGTATCAGGTTTATATTAGTTTATAGGATGGTCCACAAATTTTTTCCTTCTTTCCCTAAAAAAAAAGGACCCTTTTGCTATGCTGTTGATAAAAAAACCCAAAGGAACCACTAAACACAAAGAGAGAAAAATATACCACTATATTAGTGTATACATTATCTCCTTTGGTATATTTTAGATATTGTCTTAGGGTTTGACACACCGATCAAGAAAAACATTCAATAGCATTAATTATAGGTGTTGGCCATATTACACATTTATCTCTCTTAACAATGAGTAATAACTGTTGATAGATGTTTTACAAAATTGTATAGATCATTGATAGGAGCAAGGGTAGATTTGAAAATAAATAAATTAATGCCTTCTTGGTTTCCTATGACTTAATTTGGACCAGCTATTATGTGCACCAACTGAGGGCGAATTTTAGTATCTTGTAAATGGCTGTGTAGATAGATACACCCTTCAATAATATTTTTCTTGTTTATTTCTCATATGATATCAAAGCCATCACAAAATATCATCACCTTGCATTTTGTTTTGTGACTAAAGATTATTCCGGCACTGTCAGACGACCCGATTCTGGTTTCAATAGGTGTTGTGCAAAATCGAATTACACTATCAGGGCCAGCATCTCACCGCGACCAAATCCAAAGTACATCATCCGGTATAAACCTTCCATGTTTCCCCACTTGCCGGGGTGATTGTAAAAAGGTTCCGTAGATCTAGTCTGGCGGGATTTTTTCTTCCCTTGTGGTCACCTACTGTTTCCGACCATAATCCACAAATTTGTTTATGGAAATAGTCGTCCGAACAGTGTTTTTTTCGCCAGAACAAAGACTTTGGGATTCCTTTTTTTTTTTTGGTTGATATTGTTCCAATTTGTTCCTCTTCAATTGAGGCTGCCTAGCTCTTTTGAGCACATGCTACGGGTTTGCACTAGATTCCGATTGCTAGACTTGGGTTTGGCACAATCAAATCTATTTTTGTGGTAAACTGTGTTTTCCAGCAATGTTTCAAATCTCTCTTTGCATTATTTGCTGAGAACTCCCTTCAATCCAGCCATGTCTCTCGGAGTTGATGCATTGAATTCCAAAAAAACACGGGAGTTGGAATCAAGTCCTATGGTTACTTCAAAACCCTTGGGAGACCAGAAAATCGAGCTCCATGGTCAATGAAGAATAAACAAGGAGGAGATCATTTTAGAAGGTCTCGACCTAAGTGTAGTTGTTGTAATAGGTTTTAGACACACTTGTGAAGTATGTTATATTCTGCATGGTCCACCACCCAAGAATGCTAATGTTGCTAAAACTAAACTACATGTAACCAACGAGTTTATTCATCTAAAGAAGAATATAATGAGTTCCTTCAATAAGGAGCAAGTAAGAATGCATCTCCACAAGTAGCCTCCATCGCACAGTCTAACACCCTTGGTTTGTGGGTTGTGGACTGGGACGCTTCTGATCATGTTTTTGGTGATAAATCACTTTTGTCAAATATTGATTATTCAGTCTCTTTCCGCTGTTACTTTAGAGTTTAGCCAATGAGGTCTAAGCAAAATGTCCCTAGTTGTCTTTTAATCTTGCATCAGGCCAGTCATTTGACTCGTGCCCTAAATTGTACCATAATATTTTTTGATGATTCTTTTGTTAAACAGGACTGCATTTTGGGACAGATGATTGGCATAGAATATGAATCAACTACCTTACCACTCCCGATTCCTCCAAAGCTTGTCTTGCTATAGATCCTCCCAATTTAATTCAGAAACGAGTAGGACATTCAAGTTTGTTCAAGCTTACAGAAGATGGAACCTAGTTTGTCTAATCTGTCCATGTAGATTGTGAGTCGTGTACAACTTGGGAAACAGACTGGCACTAACTTTCCACGTAGTTCTGAGAGTCGTGGAGAGTTAATTTTTTTCTTAGTCCACTATGATATTTGGGGTCCTAGTAGAGTCAGGTCAACCTTAGAATATTATTATTATGTTAGTTTCATTGATGATTAGTCAAGATGTACTTAGAATTTATTAATAAAAGATTGTTCTGAGCTGTTTCTTTATTTAAGAGTACTTGTGCTAAAATACAAAATCAATTTGGTGTCTCTATGCTTGCCTTTCATAGTGATAATGCCTTTCACCAAGGAATTATTCATCAAACATCTTGCCCGTAATCCCCTCAATAAATGGGATACTAGAGAGGAAGAACAGGTAACTCATTGAGACTTCACACACTCTTCTAATTCAATCTTATTTTCTGCTGCGGTTTGGGGCGACGCAGTTCTCACATCTTGCTATTATTAATTGGATGCCCTCATCTTCAACTCCACCGGATAACTGAACTGTCCCTCTTAGACTAGGGTTTTGGTGGATGGATTGTAACAAAAATTGGATGGACTAGCTCGGATGAAGAGGCGAGCGCTACAGAATAAGGAACCTCACTGGAAAGTCTTTAGAATTACTTGCATACGCAGGCCCGTGGACAAATCTAGCCAAAAAAGTTGGGGTTTTTCCTGCCGCATGACAACTTCGATAGGGTTGCCCATTTATGGGTTTTCTCACCAAGATGTGCTGAGTCCAACTCATATGTTGGTTGATGCTCAACACCCACAACATCCACAAAATTGAAGTAGGACGAGACAATTGCTGGAAAGAAAGAATAATTGCATAATGACTATTTATATTCTTCTTGATATCACTGTAAATGCACAATAACTAGTAACTCACGAAAGCTCAGTTACCATGTGAGAGATGAAACAAGGAAGAATATATTGAGAGACAACGCTTCTTGATTATTCCCTCAAGCGATTGAGGTTTAAATAGCAAAGTGTACATGTCCTAAGAAAGTAAAATATAATCAATCACATAATTACAGGATACTACAATAATTACAAGATTCTTAGTAAGTGCCAAGACTGATGTAACACTAGAAGGGAGAGGGAAAAGGGAGAAGAATAGAAAGAGAACAGCAAAAATAAGAGGAAGAAGTAGAACAACTAATAAAAAAATATTCATCAAATGTGTCAAAGAAAAGTACGAAGGGTCCTGTTTATAGAGTAGGGAACCCTGAGCATATTAGACTTATGAAATAACTTTATGTCCATCTTTAATTGGGAGAAATGATATATATGAAATCCAATCTGAAAAATCCAAACCTAATTTTTAAAATCTACAATAGTTCAACTTATTTTATGAAACCTCTCAACTGCAAATTCTCATGCTTTATCGGCATGAAAAGCTGAGAAGAGTGTATAGGTATTTACACCCTACCACTGACAGTCTTATAAGAGTAGCTAACAAACTTTTCATTATGTGACAGTATTCCATTTTGGAAAGGGTCGAGGGCATGTCAGCAGAAACAATGGTACTGTTGTGGAGCATGAAGGAGAAGCACAACCCTGATTCCAAATTTAAATTGTACTTTGATACGCTGCCAGAGGTATTTAATACAGGTTTGTCTCTTGCAACAATGTTTTCACTCTAATTAAATAAAGTATTGTCGGTTTGTAAGTCCATCTAATATGGAGTTGGGCCTTCCTCTATACTTGTCCCTATCTTGTGAGCACTGAGTAGTTATCGACCTTAGCCTGTTGATCCATAAGTGGACAATTTACATGTGTGCATATGTTTATGTTTTATGTATGCGGGTGTCTCAGGTGCGCAGTTGGTTTGAGAATGGCATGCGACCTTCTGGTTGTATAAATTACCAACCTTCTTTTGTTATATAAAGTAAACTTGTTGCTCCTTCCCCCGTATATTTTTACCCACCCGATAGAAAGAAAGAAAATTGTTCACGAGTTTGACATACAACAATATGGTCTGTATATTGTTAAAAGAATGCATGTGGACACTCTTCTTTATAATGTACATGGCATAACATATCCTTAGGGATTGATAAACTCTCTTTTTTGGTTATTTCGTTAATTAGCATAACATGAATGTATATGTACCTATCACATTGTTGAATAGATGACAAGGAAATTACTCCGCATTTTTGTTAAGTTACATGGTATTAGAGCCTCTAGGGCTCAAAGTTTTGCTCAATATTTTCAAAATCTGTTTTTTTAGAAAAAGTGTGGTTATTTAGGTCACCCTATGGATCTGAATGTTTAACTCCTTCTAGGACAGGGGGAGCCACTTAGTAATCCTGAAAGGTGTAAACGGCTCGTTGGAAAGTTGAATTATCTCACAGTAACTAGACCTAACATCTCTTTTCCTGTGAGTGTTGTAAGTCAATTTATGACTTCCCCTTGTGATAGTCATTGGGATGCAGTTGTTCGTACCCTACGATATATAAAATCAGCTCCCGGTAAAGGACTACTCTATGAGGATCAAGGCCATGAGCATATCACTGGATATACAGACGCTGATTGGGCAGGATCACCCTCTGATAGACGTTCGACATCCGGATATTGTGTTTTAGTAGGAGGTAATTTGGTGTTGTGGAAGAGTAAGAAACAGAGTGTGGTTGCTCGATCTAGTGCAGAATCAGAATGTCGAGTAATGGCGGCAGCAACTGGTGAACTAGTTTGGATCAAACAGTTGCTGGGAAAACTAAAATTTGGTGAAATTGATCAGATGGAACTTGTATGTGATAATCAAGCAACCCATCTTTAGAGATGGATAGAATTTCTCTTTTGATTATTTCCTTAATAGCATAGCAGTAAATGTTTATGTACCTACCACATTGTGGAATACATGACAAGGAAATTACTCCACATTCTTGTGTACTTACATAGATCATTGTACTTATTTGAAGCCCTATTCAGTTTATTGTACTTGCTCCTCTATTACTATTTCTTCAGGTTTCTATCATGGTTCAGTTTTATGCCTTATATGACATCCTTTTGGTTGTTTTATACTATACAGGTTTGAGTTTTGGAATGGAGGCTATAATGGCTTTAGATGGAACCTTGCTGCTAGAAGAGATTGTCCAAGCAAAAGAGGTTCCAGTCTTTGATCCAATTTGATTTAGGCTAGTATGTTCATAGAACAGGGAAACTCTCCAAAACTGCATAAACTTGTTCGGTAGAAAAAAAAGAGCCATGTTTTCTTGTTGCTAATATGACTGATAACATGTTAACAAGGTTGTTCAACCAAGCCAGTCTCAATACAAAGCTCTTTTTTCATTCAAGATGGAGTCATATTTTGATGGTTAATGCTTATTAATTGGTACATGTCTACAAGCAGTATGGTGGCAAAAGAATAATTACATTTGAGATTCTTCATTTTGTTTCAGAACTGTTATTCCTTCGTATATCACTCGATCAACTAAATTTTATATCATATTCCTTCAGTTGGTAATAGTGTAGTAAGTTGTTCTTTTGTCTATATTTGGTTTGCCATCAGTGTTTCCTTTTAATTTCCCGTACTTTTTCAAATGTCATTAGAATATGTGACAGGCTGGGCCGCTGGGGCAAAGCAAGTTGGCTTGTTTACACTTTTTAATGCTTTATTTCTGAACTCGTCTCTCATTTACTATTTGTCCCATTTCCCAGCATGACTTGAATAATATTCCTGCAGCACTTGCGTGCACAATATGATGAATTATTTCCATCCCTATGCAATGATCACCCAGATGTATTTCCTCCGGAGCAGTACAGATGGGAGCAATTCTTATGGGCTTGTGAACTTTGGTACTCCAATAGCATGAAAATTATGTTTACTGATGGAAAACTGAGAACCTGCTTGATTCCAATTGCAGGTTTTCTTAATCATTCGGTAAGTTTATTCTTCCCTATAGTATATTTTCTTTCCCTTCATGTGCTTTATATTGTTGGTAACAGGGAACTGTAATATTGTGAAATTGTTTGATGTGCCTGGAGCTGGAGTTATACTTGCTGACTTGAGCTCTTGTAACGTGCCATCTGTGTCTCCAAAGTTTAAATATCATAAATTGGAATATTTGTTGTGTTCTGAGTATTTTAGGTGGAGTATAGTACAGAAATTTTATATATCAGGTTCTTCACATACAAATTTTGACATCTTTCTGGTTATGCTCACTTCTCTTTTCTTCAGACTTGTCCACACATAATGCACTATGGGAAAGTTGATTCCACGACAAATTCTATAAAATTTCCTTTGTCAAGGTCGTGTAATGCAGGACAACAATGTTTTCTTGGCTACGGGAGCTTCTCTAGTTCTCATCTACTGACCTTCTATGGTTTTCTACCACAACTAGATAACTACTATGATGTGATTCCGCTAGGTAATTTCCTCTATGTCAAGATCGCTTTACACCTAAATACCATTCATGGGCACTCCTGTAATTATTATTTGAACAAGGGCATGTTTTCCTGGCAGATATTGATGTTGCAAGTAATGAAGATTGTGCAGACACAGACCCTACACCTGATTGGACCTCCCATATGGTCCGTGGAACCTGGTTCTCAAAGAATCACGGCATCTTCCATTATGGGTTACCACCGCCTTTACTGGATCGTATGCGTAGATCTCGGAATCCTTCCTTGCAGTCAATGACTCTTGTAATCCCATATTAATTCTCTGTCACGGCTTTTCTTTACCCCATAACCCTTATACATATTGCATACTTTCTTAATTTTATCAACTTTTTTTCCACTTACCTAATTAGCTATATGATTTACTTCACCTGAAATACATATATCAATCTGTACAGACACCAAAGAACTTGGAAATTGAACTCGAAATACTTAGGGACCTTTGTTCTATGTTCGAAGAGATGCGGGATGGGCTAGGAGATCCTGAATTGGATAACAGGTAACAGACAACACATCACTTTAGAGAGATGAATTGCATTGGCCTAACCAAAATGTACTTTAACATGTCAGGGAGACCACAAGTTGGGATGTAAAGCTTGCAGTGGATTTCAAAGATTTACAGAGGAGGATTTTCTCCTCCATTGTTGCTTCATGTCAGGCAGGATGTGAGTTGGTAAAATGTGAAATGCAAAGATACACATTGTAGTGTAGCGCTACCGGAAGGAAACAACAGTGCTGAAGCTCTTCTATTTTTTAGGATTGTTAAATTATTACTGCAAGTAATTTTATTAAGATAAACCTAGTCAACTAGTTAGCACTTTTAATTAGGAGTTGAATTCTATTTGAATTTTGAATAAGTTGTATTTTATAGACTTTAGGAGTGGTATTTTCAATATATCTTTTTGCTTATTTTTAGGTTTAGAAGTTAATACTTTTATTATAAATTGTATTCTTAGACTGTCGTAAAATATGTTTAAATTTCAACTTCATTTTATAAGTTCTCTTTCTTGTTTTTCATTCTTTCAATATTTTTATTCTTTCCGTGTAAATTCTTTTCTAAAACCAACAATTGGTATCTAGAACCATTTTCTCAAGGGACCCGAGTGAAGAGATGAATTTGAAAATAGTTTTTCACAAATGGCACCATGTATTTTTCATGGTGAAAATTATCAATTACGGGTTGTAAGAATGGAAACATACTTAGAGGCTCTTGATCTTTGGAAAGATTTGAAAGAGGATTATGAAATTAATCCGTTGCCAAATAATTTCACCATAGCTCAAATTAAGAGTCACAAGGAAAAGAAAATTACGAAGTCTAAGGTGAAGGAAATTTTGTTTGCTATTGTTTCAATAACTATTTTCATAAGAATTATGTCTCTCACATCACCAAAAGAAATTTGGGATTATCTAAAGAAAGAATATATTGGAGATGAAAGAACTTGGGAAATACAAGTATTGAATTTAATAAGGGAGTTCAAGTTGCAGAGAATGAAAGACTCTGAGAAAGTCAAAGAATATTCAAACAGATTGCTTTGAATAGTTCCCTCTAGCAAATAAGGTGGAGTGGGCAAGGCAGAGAAAACATGAAAAAACAAGCTCAAACTTCAGCATTTCCATTATCTGTTCCAGTAAAGGAAGCATTTCCTGTGAATAAGAACTAGAACATGGATTTGGTCGGGAGCTAAGAGAGATTAGAAAGGTTTAAATAAGAGTGCCTAGCGTCTTTTGCTCTCTCTTATAACAAGGTAAAGTTACTAGGCATTGAATTTAAAGATTCAAGAATTGTTGAAAAAAATTCTTGTTACAATACCAAAGATATGAAGTATGTATAACTTGATGGAATTGTTAAATTCTTTTTAGGAACAGAAACAAAGAAGACTTACGAGGTAAGTTGGTATTGTTGAAGGAGCCTTAGCAGCCAACCATAAAGCTCAAAATAGGGGTAAAAATTTCAAAAATTACCCACCTCGTGAGCGTTGTGGAAAAATGGGTCATCCACCATACAAATGTTGGAAAATGCCAAACATGTAGTGTAGCAAGTGCAATCAACTTGGCCATGAAACAATGATTTGAAAAAATAAATTTGAGAACCATGAAGTAGATGTACGTGTTGCTAATAAAGAAGAAGACCATCGTTTTGTTGCAACATGTAACTCAAGTAAGGTTTCGACAAATTTTTGGCTGATTGATAGTGATTGGACTAACCACATGACTTATGACAAGAGTTTGTTTAAAGAAATAAAGCTTATTAAAATATCCAAAGTTAGGATTGTAAATGGTGATCAAATTTTTGTTGAAGGAAAAGAAACTATTGTCATCAAAACAAGTTCAGGTAATAAGGCCATTTCAGATGTTCTTTATGTACCTAATATTGATCAAAACTAGTTGAGTATTTGTTAGTTGGTAGAAAAGGGATACAAACGATCTTTTTGAGGATAAGAATTGCTTCACTATAGTTGGTGTTGGAAAAGAAGTTTAAAATTTTAATGTCACACCCCGAGCCTACACCCTGGACGTGGCCGACACTCGAGAATTATTACTGGTCCCTAATCGAACCGTAGACCTGACTCAGTACTCACCGGAAGACTTACTCAATAGTGTATGAACTCAAAAGTAAAGGTTTCTCAAAAAGTCTCAAAGTAAATAACTCAGAATATTTATAAAAAACATTCAACTAGCCAAAAAAGGCAACTCAAGTCTTGAAATTAACAATTGAAATGGAAAAGATTCCTCAAAAAGCCTCTAATAACTATGATGGAAGTCGAGACAAGATCCACAACATTCTAACAAGACTGAAAGTAAATGTGGAACCCTCCAGAAGCAAGGAGGCTCACCAAAGTTGACTGGGACTGCAAGTGGTATCAACAGAGCGCCTGTTGATGACCTTGAATACCTGTATCTGCATTATAAAAAGATGCAGGCCAAATGACGTCAATACATTGAATGTACAAGCATGCAAGTGGAACTCTAAAGCATAGACATAATCTTGAACTGATAAAAAGGAAGAACATACTCACCTCATCTCAACTCAACTCAACTCAATGATACTTAACTCAGAAATACTCAACTCAGTTCAATATAAAAGTAACAATAAAGATGCAGTATAAAGAAAGGTTTTCAAATAGTAGATAATAACTCAATGTATATAAAAATACAATAACAAACTCTTTACTCTTATTTGAAAGATTCTCTAACCAGCAACCATCACTATGAGCTATGTGATGATACAACGTCTCTCCCACGCTGCCAGAACTGTCCTATACCTTGCCGGAGTATAAGACATTCTCAACTAAGTAGATCCACTAAGCTATGCTTAAAAAGCAATAAGGAATCATCTAAAAAGTATGACCTTTTACCCATGTTGGCATACATGGTTTATATGGACTTTAAGTTGTCTGAATTCGTCCCTATATAAGTGCTCAATACTACTTCCAATAATATAACTCATGCACATATGTTGAAAAACATTTTCTCATCCTCAAACTTTGATATTATTACTCAAAAGGTTCTCTTAAAAGAGATTATGCTCAAAACTCCTCATGAACTCATTTGGAAATCAAAATTTCCTCTCATTTTTAAATGTAAAACATTTACACTCGGGAATACTTAGTTTCCTTATATTCATTTTGGAAACATGAACTCAACTCTCCTCATCCTCATGCTCAAGTACTCAAGTCTTAAAACAAGTTTTAATAGTTTGTAAAAGACTTCTCAAAGGACTCCCTCAAACTTTACTCTTAACTCTATCTTGAATTTGAAATGTGAATTCAAGAATTATGATTAGGATATATAGGATTTCTCAATGATTAGATGTAGTTTGGATAGTTATAATCATGAAGAGATCAAAGATATGTTTTAAAAGAACTCAGACGGAACGAAAGACCGAAGAAAAATGGGGGTAAGTGACATTGGCCCATCCCTGGCACAGGGCACTAGCCCCTCAACTTCAGAGGGTCAATTATGGCGCACTGCAGGCGCCCCACGCCAGCCCCTCTGTACATCTGGGGCGTGCCGTGCCACCCCTCCCACAGAACATTCTAACAAATTTTTCTTCTTATTTTTTGGTCCTAATTCACCTAGAACCAATTGATTTCTTCCAAACTTCCTTAGATTCATAAACCCAACATAAGTAAACAAAATTCTACTCAACTTTCCTCAAGAACATGCCTCAAACTCATAACCCTCACCTCAAGAACTCATCAAACTCCAGTAATAAAGATTGAAGAACGAAACTTCAAGAACTCAATATACGGAATCTTATGAATGATTCCAATGGAAAACTCATGATTGGTGTGAGGCTGAATTAACCCATCACTATGAAAACTTACATACCTCGAAAGAATCAAGTTCTTGGCAAAAAGTCCTCGAATTCGAACGAACGCTTGAACTTCTCCTTTTTCTCCTCTTGAACTTCTTGCTAAAAACCCCAAGAGCTTTATTTTATGAATGGCTAAAACTGATCTCAATCAGTTTAGACTCCTAAAAGGGTGAACAAAACGTGTAGGCCTAGTGGGGGTAAGGAAATGACCAAAGTACCCTTCCTTAATTCAGATGAATTTCCTTATCTGTACAGGCTATACTAAAACGGGCATATCTCCCTCATCTGAACTCGAAATTTAGCAAACTCGGTGACGTTGGAAAGAGGACTCAATGACCTTTGATTTGATATCTCATGGGTGACCTAACTCATAAAGACTAACCTAACCAAAATAAATGGAAACTGGTAGCTCTGAACGCAGGAGCTCACCATAGTCTTTAAGTCACAAAAGCTGCTCCGCAAGAGCTTCAAGTCTCCGGCCAGAACTCGTATAGTCATATGCATGTTGTAGAAGTGTAGTATGAATTCCAACAAGCGATACTCAGTAGACATCGACCAACTAAGCTCCAATGATAAAGCAAGTATAAATAGCAGGTAGTAAGGAAAGTACGAGAAAAGTATCTAAGCAAGAGATATAATATGACGGAACATGCAATAAGAATGAAGGAATATGATACATAGAGTAAAGAAATAGAGTCAAAGAATGTACCTAGAAACGCAAGCCAACAACCTACTCACAGGCAAGCTATGATACAAGAGTCAACTACCCAAGGTCAGTAGGACTAACATCCACAAATCTAAACCACAAACTATCAACTATCAGATCAACAACAAAGGAATACGTAATATAGTCAAACAATAACCTAACCGGACCCCCATAATCATGAATGGTACAAACAACAAACATGACCCAATGCCCCCAAAAAACAAGAGGGTGCATCAAAAATTAATTATACATGTGATAGGTGATGCATATGAATGCAGAAAATGTAGTAGAACCATCAGTAAACAAGTATATACACCTACCCTCTACCCCGTTAAGGGAGGTAGGACCCATGCAACTCACTATTCCTGTACAATGGAACAAACAACTAGAGGGACCCATAGGAGACATGGGAAGTCTATATACACTGCCTGGGCCTGAATCCAGGTCTTACAATAAGTTCTCTTTGTCGTGGTACTAGAGGTATAAGTAGCCAAAGCCAAGCAGGAAAGGGCGCTGATGCGCTGACTAGCCAAGTAAAAGCTGAGTGCATCCTAGATGCCTCTAATATTTCAAGTAGAAAAGGAGCACATCCTCGACGCCTCATAGATCTTAAAAATTAGCTTTACAAAGTGATCCATGTGGTATGACTCTTGTTAAGACCAATTTAGAATAATAACTAAGT